TTGAGAAAAAACACTTAAAGGGAAAAAGTAACTTCTTTTATAAAAAAAAAATTACTAACTGATTTTTAAGAATTTTGTATCTTGTAAAGGCGATTGAACCCCCTTTCCTCTGGTGTGCATATTTGTATACTTCGTGTACAAAAATTTGAGAAAAAACACTTGAAAGTAAAAATATATATTTTTTTTAAATATTTTAAACAAAACAAAAATTACTAACCGTTTTTTTTTTATTGGCATCGTTGTAAAGGCTAGCAGAAAACGTATACCTTCTTAAACCCGAAAATTTCGTTTTATATACACAAACACAATATAATTAAAAACATTTTTCCCTCTATATAAACTCCTGCCCCCTAGATGAAAGGCTGGCCACGCCTTTGTATACAAAGCAATTCAAGTATTTAAACCGTAGGCATATGGTTCGTTTGTTCTTTAAGAGCGAATACATGGTTCCATAATAATGATTCAGTATCTTCCTTTTTGTGTATATGGTAACCAGAGAATAAGAGAAGTGTATATTTTTTTTTATCTAAAACTAATAAAGTAAGAAGGACGAAATTCGAGGATGTGTTAGTTAACATATTAGTCCTTGACATATATTTTTTTCAATAATAAATATTGGAAATCTCCAAGGATATCCTTGAAAGGAGATTATCAATACTTATTCATCCTGGTGCACCTAAAAATTATTATTTTTTTCTATTCTACAGAATTTTTCCTTTTAATTGATACCCATATTGTTATTTTACAATGCACCGCATCTTTTGCATAATTTTTTTATTCAATTATATTCTAAAAAACACAGTTTTACTATATTTGGCCCCGTCTGTAAAATTGACTGTAGCACGGTGTAACGATGACAATAAAAGGAAGATGATTCTCCAGGGATACTATTACAAACTACAATTTAATCCAGGTAAAAAATACTTATTCGTTATCTTAGTCCTTCGGTTACCAACGCCTTTTTGAATCCAAACCATTTATCCAAAACATGCTAGCCAGTATATTCACTCACATGGAATATACTACTTTTAAAAAATATGGAGAACACCATCATCTAAAATTTATGGCAATTAAGATAAACTGACCTGTTTCGCTGGATCAGTGAATGCCAGACCGTATTGTCTGACCACCGTCATCGGAGGAGAAACTGTATTTTTAACTGGTACTGATTGGGCCTAAATATAAATAATAACAATACGCAAAGGTAAGCACAACAAAAGAAGGATCAATTATTCCAACCACGGCGATACGGTATTCCTCAGCCAATGGAAGTTAATTTGCATGCCATTGACTCAGATCCAATTTGCAAGCCATTGAACTGAAAATCAATTATTCCAAATAAAATAAAATCACTTAATAAACCTATTCAAATAAAAGCGTAAACATTACGGATGGAATTTTAAGTTTATAATTTTTTCAAAGAATTAACTGGGATAATCGTTAACGACTTCCTTAAACTGATGCGCTTTGCGTGACAGATTCGCTTTGACAGATAAAAGCATAAACAGACGGCAGCGTTGATCCGGATCAAGTCGGGAATTAACTGCAGTTGATCCGGATTAAGTCCGAGTTATTCCGGATCAACGCTGCCGTCTGTTTAAGCTTTTCGATGAATTGTATGAAAATGCACAAAGCATGCCACAAAGACCGTTGTAGCTGCAGCGCGAAGGGAACATATGGTCNTAAAGTGAGCTTTAAAGTTAAAGGTTACTTCAGAACATGACCCTAAATAGCAGCTTTTGCAACTTTCACCCAACTTAGCAGCACAAACACTGAAAACAAATTTACTAAGAAAACAAGTTGCAGCAATTTTTATTTTTTCCAATTTCGAGATCTTATATTTAATTTTTTTTTTTGTATTTCACAGAGCACAATTTGTTTTAAAAGAAGAAAAAACAAGTCAGTTTTTGACACTTTAGATACCAGAAGCAACAACAAAATTCAAGTAAATGTCGCACAACCCATCTAAGTGAAGAAGAGAAACGTGAATTCGAAAAATTATTTAAAAAATATAAGTTAATACAACATGAATTTCAGCTCACATTATTTCGCTGTTAACAATGTCTGCATAATTGGGACTAATCTTTCGACTTACATGCAATTGCATTGTACATGGACTTACCTTGACTTAGGAGTTCTATTACTTTTGTGGCTTAATGGAATACGCAAGCGTTATTTCGATGGCGCAGCATTTATCGGGCTTATTCGCCCAATTATATAAGGAACATAATGGCTCAATTACCCGCCGACGTAAAACCGGAGACCGTGACAGCTGATACATGGCAGCATGTACGGAAAGGTATTCAGTCGGTGGTTATTTGGACCACAACAGTAGCTAAGTCTTGAGTTTTGAAATAAAGCTTACCGGAAGCAAACAGGGTTGCTTAATAAAAGCTTGTCGTTATATTAAACTTTATGCGGCTCCCGAGCAGAGACCGCGAAAGTTTCGAAGTTAGCTACATAAATATCGCGATTCCAGTGAAAATAGTGGTTGGTAACGGTAAAAAACTTGGAATAATAAACTTCGGGAAAAATATCACCAGAAAAAAATTAAGAAATGAGTCAAGGAGAACAGATATCATCGACATTTTCGAGATTAAATCTACACCCATCAAGTACTTACTGTTCCTCTCCTAACATACCAACAACCTTCACCGCTAATCAAACAAAGAGAACTTGCATAGTTAATAACAGAAACAGGCTCTGCCATCCTGTATCCACTAATCGAAGAGGAGGCTGAACATCCGGTAGATGTAAGTATAAATGCGGACGCAACCGAAAGAATGTCGAATGTGGCAAAATGTTTGAGAGTTTTTGGGTAAAGCTGCAGAATTTAGTTCATGTCGGGAAATAGTGGGATAGAATATTGTTAATGTATGGACAGAATAAGGACACCCCAAAATATTCTATTTACTATCTTACACACAGTTCGACACAAGATCATCGGTAAAATTAAAAAATGATAAGAGGAACCACGCACAAACAGCTTTCTCGAGGCACTAGAAAACCTCCCACCGGTTCCTGTTTTGATTTTTAATNGTGTCGAATGTGGCAAAATGTTTGTTAGTTCTCGAGGCACTAGAAAACCTCCCACCGGTTCCTGTTTTGATTTTTAATTGTTCGAAATATTAGTTCACTTGGAATGCGCGATAAGGCCGATTACAACCACAAACTGCATTAAATCTAACCCTAACAAAATCAAGGTCATGACATAATTTCCTATGCCGAAAAGTGGCATTGAAAGGGTGTTAATGAAAGTATATAAAAAACATTTGAAAAATCACAAAACCGATACATAAATATTTTAAGCAAGGTGAAAAAGTGACGTACCATGAAAGCGGCCAAAAGGATTAAAACCTATAACAAGTACAACAGATAACTTTTTGGACAATGTCAATTAGTTTTATTATTATTTTAAGGAAATTCCACTTGGGCTCCCCATAAGACGCCACAATATACATAACCCACTGATGCATAAACGCACATAAAGTTGCTACTCTCTATGCAGCACAATTTGTATGTATTAAAACGTCTTTGTGGCAATAAAAACATACCTTATATTTTGTACCTGACATTCCAAAACATATTACTAACTTCCGGGCATAGGATAATTTCTCAATTCCCACAATAGATAATTATACTGAACTTGTATTTGAAATTAATAAGAAGTTAAACTTAGTTGAAAATTTACACCATGAAATTACGAACTTGACTGACAACTGTATAAAGCATTTACATACTCAAGCCAATCAAATTTTATGTGAATTCAAACAAATATATGATTAGGAAATTAGATTCTTTGATAATTTCAATCAATTAGTTTGTTCCCTCAATCGTTAAAAAAATAGTTTTACTCCAAGCGCCTTAATTGTGTGTCCACGAATGTGTNACAATCAAATTTTATGTGAATTCAAACAAATATATGATTAGGAAATTTGATTCTTTGATAATTTCAATCAATTAGTTTGTTCCCTCAATCTTTAAAAAAAATAGTTTTACTCCAAGCGCCTTAATTGTGTGTCCACGAATGTGTTTTGTTATTTTCCAAATAAGGTACATAGGCATGAAAGTTTTCGAAAAAATAAAACGTGTACTATATGTATGTATGTGTTTAATTATATATGGTAGAAATCAATTTCAGACTAATGTGTAAATTATTGTTCCTGTTAACACTGAAAATATACTGAACGGAAAAGGATTCCAAAGTAAACTCTGCCTCTTAGAGATATTCTTATTTATAGCTTATTGCATAGTAACTCTTATAATTAATAATGCATTTATAATTGAAAATAGTAAGGAAAGAATTATAGTGAATTTAAAGGAGTACATACAATAGTTTATTACAACTTTTAAATTTTGTCAAAACTTTTCGCATTTTAGAAATTAAAACATTTAACAAAATCAATGAGCGCATTGCGGATAATATTAACAAACAAATTTTATATTAACGATCAACAAATCTTTGATATATATGGTGGATGTAACAAGAAAAAAACTGGGCCGTTCAGTCATTGTTAAAAAAATAATTAAGGAAGCTTTAAATTTACTTACAAATTGACGAAAGATTTACAACCCACAGCTATGTGCATGAATGCGGCACAACTACTACCTATTCACTTTATTCGTTGTGACAGAAATGTCGAAATGCCATTCCTCAAACCACATATCCTAAACCGGTATGCCTGTGCGATCCTTAATCTTTCCGAGCACGTTAACATGCACCTTCGAATAGCCACTATGCTTTTTACCCAAAGTGCCCATATTACCGCTGGTTCCAGCGCCACCTCCGTCGATTGAAGAGCACGATAACGGCGAAGAGTTCTTCGAATCTAAATGTGATGAGCGATGTAAGGAACGATGCAGCGATTCGTGAGGCAACATATCATCGCTGCTCGGACGCATATGTGTTGAGGTGGATGTGTAGCCAGGCTGAAGTTTTTCAACTTCATCGTCGATGCCCTTAAATTGCCAACTCCAGTTGGCGCGGTACAGGAAAGGACGATGATCGAAGCGGTTGTCGTCCGGACTGTAGCTTTCAGCGTGCACCGAAGGTGTTAGTACAGTCATTTTGTGCCGATTTATGGCGTAGCAACGGAAGAAGTGCTTCACCTTGTCAGCAACCTGAATTGGATGACCAATTTAAATAGAAGAAATGAAGAGAAATTATATATATATGTATTACTTATTTTGTATTACATTAAGGTCATATATTCGATACTATCTACATACGAATACACACATTATACATACATGTGTATGGATGTATCTGCAATTTTCATAAAAAGAAATTTCTGAATTTTTAACCCGTATATGTACACTGAGGTAAAAAAGCGCGTAGTAAAAATGGAATTTTTTTATTTGATTACCGTTTAAAAATATTCGTATTTAAATCAAGTGAAAAGTGTTTCAAAGTAAGTAGAGTATGTATAATGGAAATATTCAATTCAAATATTAAAATTAAGCATTTTTCAACGGATGGCGTTTTGCACGTCTCAAATGCTTTTTCATACATAATTAAGAAAGTNGAGTATGTATAATGGAAATATTCAATTCAAGTATTAAAATTAAGCATTTTTCAACAGATGGCGTTTTGCACGTCTCAAATGCTTTTTCATACATAATTAAGAAAGTAAGTATGTGACAACACATTCACACATTCACACTACATGGTACATGCCTATCTGTACAAAAGCACTAATCGCGCGCCGTGATGTTGATTCAAACTCAACATTTGAAAAGACAATTACATGACTGATGATGAGGTGATTGATACAATTGGTTGCTGCTGCCAAGAAGGTCCGGGTTCAATTACCATCAGACGGAACATGAAATAAAATATTTTTTTTCCTTCTTAATTACGAAAAAGCATCAGCGAAGTACACGACATATTTTATAACGTGTATACTAAAATTTAATACGAGTTGGGTTGGTGCTCTTTCATATGCGTATTTTTGTAAAATTAGCACCTCTTTTTAATTCTAAAGTTTTTTCCCTCAGTGCAGAGCAGGCAGATTTATTTAGGAGGCCGGTGCGATTTACGGCCCTTTAAAAAACAGGCTGAAACCTGAAAAGGTATCAGCATACTTTTTATTAAATATAATCTTACAGTTTTTAAATTCAAGTACTCAGTAAAATAAATATTATTTATTTTGAATTTTTTTATTTACCCACATACATCATTTACTTCGTAAAATTACTGAACATCAGCTATCGCATCCGCATCCGCGGATGTCTAAAATTTCACATTCGCAACATTCCTAGTATGTATATAGATATGAAGCAGGAAATGATTTCAAAATACTCGCTTTTTTAGTTGTAATAGCCTTTTATTAAAAGAGCGAAATGTATTTAATGGTCTTATTTAATGCTGTAGAGTCATGTATAACTTTATTGGAAACGAATTACTGCAGATTAATGGATTCCATTAATAACTTAAATCGTTTTCTAGATCTCATTTTTATAAGTTATAATGGCCGTCAGCGATTCGTCAACAGTTAGCGAGTGGCGAAACGAACGAACTCAATGAAGTACAACCAAACTCGCTATCGTCCATGCTTCACGGAGTCCTTGAGCCAGATTCAACTGAGTCGGTCTGGAATGATGGCATTTCCCATTAGACTACTATTTTGGGACCGTGTTTCAGAGTTAGAAGTTCAAAATAGTGGCAAGTGCCGACTTCGAAAACGGCAACTTTTTCGATTTTCAGGTTGGTTTTCGATAAGGTTCTCGATGAATGATATACAAATCGATTGTATACATATTTATACATATGTAAGTGCAGGCCCGACTATAGGGTGGGGCTGTTTCCCCACGGGCTTGGATTTCTCCTTAAACTTAGTTGAAAGATAAAAATTATAAAACTTTGTTAAATTTGATTATTTAATATTCAGATAGCTTTTATAATATCCAATAAATGCGAAAGCGCATGTCTAGATACACATACAAGCGTGTCAAGGTTATTTCCGTGCTAGTCAAAACAACCGCCAATCTGGCCTAATGTGAAACAGAAGGGTTCCGAAATCAACACATGTTGTCTAAATGTTGTCATCGTAATGATTTTTCCTTGGTTAATCAAACATTTTGAAGTCAAAATTGTTGAGCGACCTTCAACGAGATTCGAGGTTATCTACAACAGGGGAAAATCAGAAATCAATAGAAGGCGGGTTTCTTGCATACACCCCATCTGAGCTAAGGGAATGCTTTGACTAAAACAATAAAAACTATTTTACGCATTCTCTTGATAAAAAAAGACATTCTCCACAAACTATGAAAATACATACTTGGTATTTTTCAAAAGCACTGAAGAAGGATGTAGTAATGATAACTTTAGGAATTCGTTTAAATACTTAAAACAAAATTTAGGTTTAGAGGGGGCCCGTACAAGTTTATGTTATTAAATTAAAAGAACCAACTAATGAAAGAACACCTATAATGTAATAAGTGTTTATAGTTAATTTTTTTGAAACCAGATAAAAGTTTTCCGTTATAGGTAGACCAAAAGTTGGCTATTGTAGTAGACGACTACGAAATTACTCACAGGCTATACAGGTCTATACATATCGAGCCCTTACCGCCAAAATAACTTAAGCGACATTTATTTCAAAATTTTCTTTTTGATTCAGAAATGCATCTAGTTGCTCTAGGAATATTTCTGCATAAAAAAATGTTGAAAAAAAATGCGCTTACGTAGTTTTTGCGGTTTTGGCGCGATATTTAAAAAATTACTCATATACAATCTTATTTATACTATACTTAAATGCGAAAATGTCAGCTAAAAATCGAAAAAGTTACCGTTTTTGAAATCGGCACTTGCCAAGATTTTGAACTTCACGTATTTTAACTCGGGAACACCCCCCCAAAATAGTATAATCGGAAATTCCATCGTTCCAGACCGATTCAGTTGAATCTGGTTCAAGGAAACCGTGGCTTGCTAGCTAACTTTGTTGTTGCTCTTACACACAAATTTTTCGTTAAGCGACCGGAACTCAAACATAGCAAGCAGCCAAGTGGCGAATCGATGACGGATAATATTAAGTTTGATGTTAGTATCCTCGTGTAATCTATCTCACCCAGTGTTGCCATTTTGGTGCTTTTGGAGCTAGATTTAGCGCTTTATATTTCTATTTAGCTCCGAAAATCGTGTTTTAGCTCCTAGCTCTTTTCAAATTTATGTAGCACTTTTTTAGCTCCAGAAAGTTTTAGTTGTATTTGGTATATAAAAGCCAAAACTTAAGCGTTGATAAAATGGAAAATTTCGAGATGCAGTGTATCCACCATAAACTCTTGGATCTAGGTTAAAGAATTCAAAAATTAGTTAAAAGAAAATCCTTTTTCTGATAGTGTGGATTTTGTTTTACCTTAGTAATTTTACTTTTAAGGTGAGCTGGAAGTAAAACTTTGCAGAAAAATTTTGCGAAAAAATTATTCAATTCAAATATTTGAAATTACAGACTTTAACAGTTTGTAAAGTATTTTTAGTTCACTGTTATAAGGCCATAGCAACGAATTTGAAATATATGCACCTTATTTTGGTTTTAAAAGATTTTTTCAGCACTTAAACTTATAAAATTCGTTGTTTTTTTTTTTAAATTGCTGAAAATTATATAGTCAACCATTTTTATTGAGCTTGACACCGTTTTTTGTGGAAAAGCAACAATAATTGAAAAACTGGTAGAAGTGATAGCTATTACGGTACTCACCACATTTCCTCATCAGACTTCTTTCCGAAAATGTAAAAACAACCTTACGTCAATAAATGCTCAACCTTAACACAAATATGTAGCTCTTCAGTTTAGCTACTAATAGTATTATTTAGCTCTTTTTAGCTCTTTGTCAACCGTTTTAGTTTTAAACGGAATGTTTCTCTGGCAACACTGATCTCACCCCTTAACTTAATCATTTAACATCGAACATTTTGATATCCCTTGAAACCAGATGAAGAGGTATCTTTTAATTATAGTTCCTGTGATTTTGAAAAATTGAATATTATACTCTAAATATCGAGTGGAATGATGTGTAAGCTGGGGCTGATGTTACATCTTGTTTTGAGCGGCTCAAATCCACCATTTTTAGCATGTGTGAATAAAAAACTTCCTTGGCACTCGGAAACAATTATATCGCCTAAATAACTTGACAAATATTGTTTTGTTATTTAAGTATAAAGTAAATAAAATGCAGAAGTATTTTATTTTATATTTTAAGTACAATCCTCAATTTTATAACTTAAATACATCCAGCTATAAAGGGTATCTCAGAAATTTCGATACCAGAATTAAAACAAATCCAAAAAGTTTTTGGCGTTGTGTTAAATCTAAAAAGAATGTTTGAAGTGTCCCGCTTCAGTGTTTTATAATGACTCCACACCTAATTCTATAGGTTAGGCAGCAGATTGATTGCTCACTTTTTCTCCTCAAACTTTAGTGAGGATCTTTCCAATACTGATATTGCGGATCTACTCCCAAATGAATGGAAAGGNCACTCGGAAACAATTATATCGCCTAAATAACTTGACAAATATTGTTTTGTTATTTAAGTATAAAGTAAATAAAATGCAGAAGTATTTTATTTTATATTTTAAGTACAATCCTCAATTTTATAACTTAAATACATCCAGCTATAAA